GGAATTGAGAACTCAAGAATGGGACACAGAGAGACAGAGAGAGTTGAGAGAGAGAAGCATAGAGAGAGAAGCAGAAAGAGAGAAAAGAAGGGAAAGGAAGAGAAAAAAGGAAAGAGAAAAAGAAAAAGAAGAAGTGGGTGAGTGGGAAAGAGAGAGAGAAACAAGGAGAAAAATGAAAAGGGAAAAAAAAGCCAGGCATAGAAAGGCAGAAAGAGAAAGAAGAAAAGAGAAAGAAAGAGCAAGAGAAAGGGGGAAACAAAAGAAACAATGGAAGAGAGAGGAAAAAAAAGAAAAGAAAAGAAAAGAAAAGAAAAGAAAAGAAAAGGAAAGAGTGTGGTGGAGAGAGAGAAGGAGAGAGAAAAACAGAAAAGGAAAAAGTTTCATGAAAAAAAAAAAAGTTACAGCTACAGTACAAAAACAGGTTTACTGAAGCGGCAGGTAATCGGGACAGTCGGCAGAATTCCCGGTGGGCCGGTAGTGTTTTGGGCCGCTTACTGTGAGCTAATATATAAACTTACACATATAACCACAAGAACACTCAGACAAACTACACATCACATCCAAGTGTACGTCTGCAGTTGTTTGGGGGAAATTCGTATAAGAAAACTCAGCTCAGTGGTGTGAAAAAGCAGTTCTCAATTACTTTCTTCACAACTTTGACGTGTGAATCAGATGGACAGCAGCAACAAGAACAGCAAAAAACCGAGGTGGAACCGAGAACACCTGAATGAGAAAGCTACTTAAGGGGATGAGGAGATAGCCGAGCAGGTGGGCAGAGAGAAAAGCTGACCTTAGCTTACGTAGCATTAGCTTGTAGCAAAGTGACGGTTATGATTGTGTCATATTTAAGGCAAAAACGTTCGCCGGTTTCACTTTATCACTTTATCTCAGTGCACTTTCTTAAAAAAGACACTTCTTCAAGGGTTCTTTAATAAAGAAAATGGTTCTACATAGAACCATGAAGAACCCTTTGCATGATTAAATGATTCCTTGCCTGGTGAATTGGTTCTTCAGATTGCTGGAGAATGTGCTTTGATGGTTCTATATTACCCGTTCGGTAATAGAGTACTAGTAGTTCTACATAGTACCGAAAAGTGTTCTTCTACTGTTATAATGTCTTGTATACAATAGACCTTTTGGTGCTATGCAGAACTATTTTCAAAAAGGTTGTATAAGGAACTATATACAGTGATCTGAAGGACCATTTCACCATGCAGAGAACCGTTTACTCACGTAAAGGGTTCTTTCAGTGTTCACGGTACTAAAGACCTCCTGAACAACCATCTTTTTTATGAGGGTAGCATATGAATAATAGTGTACTGTATAAATAATAAGATAAATAAATAATAATAATAATAAATAAGAGTAAGAAATTGAGAAGATAAAAATATGCAGATTTTAGAATAAGTTATTTTGCAGGAAGGCAATGATGCTGACCAGCCCACCCCAAACTCTACACACACAGGAAAACAAGTCCCACACTGGCCCTGCTTAAGTCTCTAAAATACAGTATTAGTTAGTGAATATTAAGATTAACACCTGAATAATAATCCTGCAGTTTTAAAGTTTGTCTTTTCTCTTTTCTTTTTCTTTTTCAAAGCTCAAAACTGCAGTGAAGCATCTGAGCTCTCCGACCTGCTGCCACACTCTGCCGAGCTCAAATTTCACTCCACACTTTTCCCTCTGAAGACGGTGGTGCAGACTCTCTCAGCTCTGTCTGGGGTTTCCCCTGCGTGTGGAGCAGGGGCGCAGACCACGGCCGTCCCAGGACCAGCTCCGGCACGCGGCTCCGGATGAAGCTCCCTCCGAACGCTGTGAACGGCTGATCCCGAGTCAGCGAGGCAGCCATTGAAGCACTTCAGACTCTAACAATTGGCTTTTGTTGGAGCGCGGGGGCGGCCTGGGCTCCGGGGGTTAAAGTTGAGGGGGGTTTTGAGTTACATCAGATAAGAGGTTATGAGTATTGGTGGACGGAGGGGGACAGAAATGGAGGGGTAATTATAACCACACCAGGAATGTGTAAGTTATCTCATGAGTGAGGGACTCTTAGCGTGGCGCTCTGACTGATGGGACAGTGCGGCTAAGGTGGGAGTCTGCGGTCACATACAGCAATAAGCCTAAAGAGGCTGTGTGTTAGGCACACTAGATACTTGCACATGGCCTTGGGAAACAGGCTAGCCTGGACTGGACGATGAAAACATCCTCCAGTTTGGTGCAGTTAGCAAGCTAGCAAACATGCCGACCATAAACAGTAAAAAAAACACAAAAGTAAACATAATTATACCTGGTAATTACATACATGCAAGAACACTGTGCTCCACGCTGAGCTGTTGAAGAAAATTGGTGTGGTTGGTGGCAGTGGCATGAATCTTGTGTGCAGCAGTGCTTAGCCAAGCAGCTAACCTAGCAGTCAGCAATCTGGCAAACTCACTTACTACAGACGGCAAAAACACAAAAAGTAAAAATAGTAGTTCCATCTATTACAGCTTTTTATGGGTCTGCATATCATTTTGCTACTTTTTTATGTGCTGATTTATTTAATTAAACTTTTTTCTATTTTGGATGTTCAATGCTGCAATCCTCTCCTTCAAATGATCATTTTAAACCTGCAAAATTTCATTGAAATGCACTTGCTTGTGAAATTTCGCTGAGAAAAAGCTGGTGCAACTGAGTGATTTTGCCATGGTTAAAGGGTGTTGTTAGGCACTGAAGTGAAACCATGTAGCATGGTTTACTGCTTTTAGAAAACAGTAACAAAATAAAATATGATAAAATATATAGACGTTCAATACATAATTTAATCAAATATTTATGATCACAGTAAACATTCCACCAAGTGGTACAGTTCATTTATCAGTAGGCTACGGCTGCCGAGCATAACAGTTAGTTCATGAACAGCATGGTTTTTAATTGGCCCATATCATGGAAAAAACAAATTGTCTTCACTTTATTACAACTTACAACAATTACTTGTCCTCACAAGTCATTTGTAAATATTGGGCCTCGTTCTCCAACCGTTCTTAAGAAGAAATATTTTCTTAAAACTTACGCAGTTTTGACGAAGACTCTGACTCACCAATGTTCTCTTATGTGGGATTTGTTCTTAGGTAAGAACAGAATCTACACACACTCAAGAGCACAAAGGTGAGAACAGTTCTGCGCTTTAAGAACACGTCATGAATCTGACGGAGACCTTTTCTTAGGACCTTCATCAAGAACACACTTAAGAACAAACTTAGGAAGATACTGGAGAATGAGGCCCAATATCACTACTTAGTCCAAGTGTTCCATATACAGATGCTTAACTGTAAAAACAGCCTATTTCCATTTCACTGTTTCTTGATTTCACAAGAACTCATTTATCCACCTATTTGGTCTACAGCAGTTTAGCCCCGCCCACTCACGTTCTGTTGCAGAGCTTGTATACATATATCAGTCTTAAAGGTACAGTAAGAAAAACAGCCTGTTTAAAAAATGGTCATGCAGAAATCAACTATGACTGTTTTTGGTACATAAAACCACACAAATGTCATAAGAGAACCTTGTGGGGAAAATAAAACTTTTATTAACTTGGCACATTTCCAGTTCATGTGTCTACGTCAAGCAGCCTGAACGTGGCTCCACCAATCAGAGTTTAGAATGAGAACTACCTGTTTTAGTACATTTATGATTTCACATTAACTGCTGATTTAGTTGTAGAGGAGCTCCACAGCGCACAGGTGGCGGTGGAGTTAGTTTACCAGCGAACTGCCGGGTTTCTCTCTTGCTTGGACTGAACTGCAGCCGGTCCAAATGATTACTCAACTTTCCAAGACAAACCGTATGTTGCTCTGCAGAGTAATTAGCCTCCTGCTACAGAGAAAAATACGCAATTACTAAAGCCAAATTGCATCCATGCTTTTCTGCAACAGGAAGACTCTGCACCCCCACAAACCCCCCACCATCCCACCCCCAACCTCACCTCTAATTAATGAAAGAGTGCAGGCCATCTGGGAATGAACAAGAGCGAAGAGAGAGAGAGAGAGAGAGAGAGAGAGAGAGAGAGAGAGAGCCCATAAGATGCTTTAGGAATGTCTCCGTTTGACAAAATAAAAAATAAAGTCTCTTCCTGACTTCCTGCCATATCACCAGAGGCTCTCATATGGAGTGGAGCGCAACCCGGACCACATATCAGCAAAACACACGCACTCATCAACCAACACACGCAGAAACACACACACGCATCTGCCTCGTAAGCGTTTAAAGAGTTTTAAAGCTGCAAAAAAGACTTCGTCAAACTGATTTTTGGGGTAACAACACTGGAAATCGTCCACTCAAGGAAAGAAAACGTAAGCATAGGAACTTTTCTAGGAGAAAACAAGAGTGGACTATACAGTAGGTCCAGTCAGAACTGTCAGAGAATGTAGGACGGCGTCTGAGTGAGTCGGTTCCTTTGCCATAACTCACATTAATGTTCAATATCTATTATTGAAACTAATAATCGATTATTCGGATTATGAATTACTGTGAGCTTGTGTGAGGTTGTTTTATGCATTTACTAACTAACAATGAAGACAATAAAGATGAATAACTTACTCAAAAATTCATTGTTTTAACGAACATTTCCAATACCAAAGATAAATAAAGCAATAATATATTTTTCCTGTCAAAATTGAAAATCAAGGATGTGCAAAGTGACAACAATAGTAATAATATATATATATATATATATATATATTTTGTACTTTCTTTTAACACCTGCACCTGATGAAGGTCCTTGTACATCTGATTCTGTTTCTGCTATTTATACAAAGGGACATAATTCGGGGTGTGAAGGTTCAGGCTCTCCACTGCTGTTCTCAGCTATGCAACATACTTTCATACAACAAGCTACGTGACAGACTTTCAGAACGTCCTGGCTGATTTGGGGTGGGAGGTGAATGTTTTGCTGGGCTGCTCCTTTGAGCTGATCCCTGAGTGAGAGTCAGTTTGTAGCGTTAAAGGCTGGATGTGAAGCGTACCATTGGAGGTGGTGCTGGAGGCCACGGCCTTCTCGCTGATGTCGGCTCGGCTCGAGGAGGAGCTTTTGGTCGCCACGATGGTCTCCACCTTCTTCTTCTTCTCTGCTGCAGAACTGGCCTGGGACTGGGTTTCCATGGCAACTGCGCATTCCTCAGTGCCTCATCTAACCCGGGACACCTGTGGGTTCCAAAGAGTGAAATGGTGAAGCAGCTGATTTTAGACTTAAAAGTTTCTAAGTGGCTAGCAAAAAAAAAAAAGTTAAGAATTTGATAATGATAATCACATCTAAATGCCAATTTCTGGAAATGAAAAACCTAAAAGACAAAAAAAAGACATGGAAACATTAACATCAAAGGGAACTGGCTTGCAGGAAAGGCCTTCATGAGAGAGTTTGGACTTTCAACACACGCGAAAAACAAAGTTTGAGGTTTCAGGACTAGTTACACGTTGGAGGGAGAAGATTGCAGGTGGGTATAAACTGTGTATACCAAAGCTCTCCATCACCACTCAAAACACGCACACAAAGGCAAAACCTTACGGGGATACTTCAGAGAGTGAGAAACTCACACCCGCCTGAAATGAAGGTTTGTTTGAAGCTCCTTTTGGGAATATCGGAGTGCTGGGGCCATTTTCTCCTCCGCGCAGTAAACGCTTGTTTTAGTTTTAAGCTCTTTCTCTGGCTCGCTGGCTCTTTTGGGTTCAGCCAAGCAGACTGTTCGAGAGAGGGGTTCCACAGAGCTCCACTCGCGGGCCACAAAAAAGTAAAAAAAAATAAATTAATAAATAAATAAAAAGAGAGGATTCTTTCTGATTCAGTTACAGATTTGCCAACCAGCTAGGAATACAGCCAAAACCTTTTCCAAGAGGAATTTAAAATGTCGCTAGGGGTCCGCATGAATAGAGAGGACGGCCCTCATGTGGACTAGGATTACATTTTATTGCAACAAGTTGGGGGAAAAACATTCGAAAGTTTCCCACTGAAAGGCTGAGGGATTTTTTTAGGATAGTGCCGTGCCGCTATAAGGAAAACCCATACGCTGTTGGATGTTAAAGGGAGGGGGGAAAAGCTCTTGGGCTGGAATATAGCATAAATTCTGCTCTCTGTAATTCAGCTTTAATTGGTAGAGATGTTTAGTCTGCAACTGTTTGACTCAGTAACGGCACCGAACAGCATGTTTAATCGTCTTCAGCGTCTGTGACAGAAGTTATGAGCGGTGCAGTGGTAGCTGACTGGGTCTTACAACACAGCTATTGAAGTTATAAAGGCTTAAGTCCCAAGAGGAGGGGTGTAACCGTGCTCCATAAAAGTGGAGGGGGTTATTTGGAGCGGTGGTGGGGGGGGGTTTGGTTACAGCCGCTTTGTTTGTTTAGGCATTTTTTTTTTGCTCAGCTTTTAGATTCGAGAACAACATCTGCAAGCAATCCTGGTTTACCGACCAAAAAAACAACAACCCAATAACCCCCCCTCAACCCCCCCCCCCTCACAAAACCAATCAAAAACATATTAAACTCAAGTTCTTCCCTTAATCACACCCATATGAATACAGGCACATCAGTCAATACTCCGCAGCAGCAGCTTCTGAGAGCTCAGAGTGAATGAAATAAAGAGTAACCCAATCAGAGTTTAGCGTGCTTTTATTCCTGTAAGCCCACAAAAGATGATGTTGATCATTTCTGACTTGTAGCTCACGGAAACAGGCGCAGAAATTCTGTGATTCAAACTTCATCCAGACCACATCGCTGCTCCGGAGCAGAAGGAGATATTTTATTAGCGTATGAAATTCATAAAGGTGTTATTTTGTTCTGCGGGAAGATTAAAGCCTCCTGTTTTGCCGTGTGTCACCGGCTGACATGCAAACAGACGGAAACAAGGCTGAATGCAAACTGTAAATGGAGCTCCTCACATCACTAACTATACACTCATACAAAGGATAGTTCTCCAAGGGTTCTTTAGTAGAGAAAATGGTTCTGTAAGGAACCATCAACACTCAAAAAAACACTCTGCATGATTAAAAGGTTCTTTGCATGGTGAAACTGTTCCTCAGAGTGATGGAGAATGTGTTGTTAATGTTGTTAAGCTTGTAACAATAGAACACTTTTTGGTGCCATATGGAACCATTTCCAAAAATTGCCATTTTTCATCAATCAGAAGAACCATTTCACCATGCAAGGAACCATTTAAGCATGAAATGATTCTATATAGAAGTCATGGCTCCAATGAGAACCATTCCCTTTTCCAAAGAACCCCTGAAGAACCATATTTTTAAAAAGTGTACTGAAACAATTCTATATTGCACTAAAAAGGGCTGCTGCTGCTACAGTGTCAAGCTTTTTTGGATCTATATAGAACCATGGTTCTTTAGTAAAGAAAATGGTGCTATATAGAACCATGAACACTCAAACAACCCTTTTCATGATGAAATGTTTCTTTGCATGGTTCTTCAGATTGATGGAGAATGTGTTGCATATGGTTCTATATAGCACCAAAAAGGGTTCTACTATTGTTACAATGTCAAGCTTGTCACTATAGAAGAACACTTTTTGGTGCTATGTAGAATCCTTTTCAAATAGGTTCTATATAGAACCATCTACAGCACATTCTCCATCAATCTACAGAACCATTTCACCACTTTAATTATGCATAGGGTTCTTTGAGTTTTCTATGTTTCTATATAGAACCATTTTCTTTACTAAAGAACCATTAAAGAACCATCTTTTTTGAGAGTGTAGTGAAACAGTTCTATTATTATTGTAGATAGAGCACCAAAAATGGTTCTGCTACTATTACGATGTCACGCTTTTAACAGTAGAGGACCTTTAGGTTTTATACAGAACCAGGGTTCTTTAGCAAAGACAATGTTTCTATATAGAACCATGAACACTCAAAGGACCCTATGCATAATTAAAGTGGTGAAATGGTTCTAAGGATTGATGGAGAACGTGATCTAGATACTTCTATATAACACCAAAATAGGTTCTTCTATTATTACAACTTGACATTGCAACAATAGTAGAACCCTTTTTGGTGCTCTATAGAAACATCTACAATAGCCTGAAGAGCCATTTCACCTCTATGAATTATGTACAGTGTACACGGTTCTATACAGAAGCAATTTTTACTAAAGAACCCTTGAAGAACCATCTCTTTAAGTGCGTGTTGTTGGTGTAACTACATTTAAATGGCCTAGAAAAGCAACACTGAGCACTCAGAGCGTCTAAGGGTTAAAGGCAGAGAGTGGAGCTGTAGCCGCTAGCTGGGGCGAGTTCACAGGCTAACGATCGATTCTGACCCCGGCTAGAAGAACACAGCCGGCCGGCTTTGGTCTGGCGGTAAGCGCGGTTGCTGTGGATGGGTGAGGCGCTCCGGCGCTGACAGGCTGTCGGAGAGAGAGAGTGGGGGGGAGATCAGACGAACAGAGCCCCAAAGTCAGCCCCATCGCTTTCACATTACACACCATCCAGCAGTTCTGCGCGCTCAGCCGCGGTAAAGCAGAGGAGAGAGAGAGAGAGAGAGAGAGAGAGAGACAGTGAGGGAGAGAGAGAGAGAGAGAGAGAGAGAGAGAGAGAGAGTCCTTTATGCCTGTTATTGACTGGCCTTCTGACACATGGGTGCGTTTGGCTGTGTGTGTTTGAACCCCCGGTTTTCCACCTCCTCTTCAATCCCTCGGTGATCCAGAAAGAGGGCAGAAAAAAGAGAGAGAGAAAGACAGGAAAGCTAAGCTCAAGTCTTAGGATGGGAGACACGGCGAGGGGCGGAGAGAGGCGCACGGAGAGAGAGAGAGAGGAGGTGGGGGGGTGAGAGAGGTAGAGAGAGAGTGGAGAAGAGAGATCATGGGTATAAACATTCCTTTGGAAAAGCAAACATTCGCAGCTCCCGTCCACTCGAGCGTGGCGGGCGCTTCCCTTTGTGCTCTCGGCCCGGCGGAGGGTCCAATTAAGACCAGGACCCTCCCCACTAACCGTAAGCCCCCTTGACCCCTGTTCACCGCCACCTAATCCCACAGGTGTTCCAACAGAGAATCCCTCTCCTCTTCCTCCCTCTTTTACACCCTCACCCTTCATTTTACACCACATCTTTGAGCTCTCAGAGGCTTTTAACCCTGGAGTTGTAACGTTCTTATCCTTGCTGTCATGAAAAAACCTCTCCACTTTTATCATTTTTCAGTTTTTGATATAATTTGAAATCACCAGCTGCCACCAGCAGGTAGAAGAATGATGAACGGAAAACAAAAAGTCCATTAACTTCTATTAAAAGTTAGGAAAATTGTGTTCTCCTCCTGTAAAATGGCCTTTTGGAGATGTGAGGTTTGGTTCCAACAGCGATGCAACGCAGCGGGCATAATTAATTACACAATTAATTGCGTAATTAATTACAGTTACAGTTAAGAAGTTAATAGTCATTTTGCTATACATTCTTAAAGGGTTCTTTAGTAAAGAAAATGGTTCTACAAAGAACCATGAACACTCAAAGTACTATTTGCATGCTTAGATGGTTTTTGCATGGTGAAATGGTTCTTTAGATTGAGAACATATTGTATATGGTTCTATGTAGCACCAAAAAGAGTTCTTCTATTGTTACAAGCTTGGCACTGTCACAATAGCAGAACCCTTTTTGGTTCAATATAGAACCCTTTTTGAAGAAGGATCTATATAGAACCATATACAACACGTTCTCCATCAGTCTTAAGAACCATTTCACCATGTACAGAACCATCTAAGCACTTTGTTCACAGTTCTATACACTCTTAAAAAAGATGGTTTGTCAAAGGTTCTTCAGTAAGGAAAATGGTTCTATATAGAACCATAAACACTCAAAGAACAATTTGCATGATTAAAAGATTCTTTACATGGTAAAATCGTTCTTCAGATTGATGGAGAATGTGTTGTACATGCAATTGGATCTTTGAGTGTTCATGGTTCTATACAGAACCATTCAAATGTAATTATGTAACTACATGCTAATAAATGTACTATTTTATGTAATGTAGCCCTGTTGGTGACATCCTGGATAAATAAAAATCCTGTATAAATAAAAAGAATATGTGGCCACGACTTAGTAAGGCATGGATATGAGATCCGAATGCGTGGCCACGGCTTAGTAAAGCGTGGGAATGATATAATTAAGTTGTGGTCACGATTTAGTAAGGTGTGGGAGGGAGATCTTGCCTTGCTGAGTC